TAATATTATATACAGAGTGTTCCATTTGAAAAATCAAAGTTGCTACTGCTTTCTAATAGAAGCGGCAACACCGCATTGTCGAAAATATTTTAGTTGGCTAGAGAATGTCCGAATATGCCCTCCATTAAATTTTCAAAGTGATCCGTTGTCTGGTTCACCAGAAACGTCTAATGTGCCATCCACCGTGAATCAGCCTGTATACTAACTTTTATCTGTAATTTCTATAATAAACTCGAATTAACTATAATGTGTAACGCTCGTTATTAAAAAGATTTTTTTTAATCTGTGGCACCACCATGAAGAATAGTGTAGCCAAAAGGCCCTTTTTTGTCACAAACAACAAATGAATACTTTGCAAGGGACTTGGTGGAACTATGGAAATCTTGGATACCAAAGTTTACAGCGTCCCTTTGAAGATCGAACGTTGTTTGCCACTGTGTGAAATGCATCATTATAATTTTTTTTCAGGTTGTGAAAGGTTACATTTTTCTAGAGTATCTATAGGAAAAATATATTTTTGTTAAATTCTAAACTATTATAGGCTGGGATTGAATCAAATAAGCGAATGAATGTCATTGAGTATTGTCATCGATGACATGAGTAGATTCAACTCGTCCGTAACATACAGTCGTAATTTTATGAATAAACTGGGTGCTCCATCTTGTAATATTATCCAAATTGGTGCTGAAGAGGCATTAAGGCAAGTGTCTTATTCCGAAACATCGGATGTCTGCCATTGAGGATGACAGTGTACCACGAAGTCGCAAGTGAAATTTTACCTCTTTCATATACTATATTTAGTCCAGTCATTATAGTAAGTTACCAAAAATTAATCTCTCATGAAAACAAACCTCTTCAATTTATTCTAGGCGTTTTTAAAACTGGTATACATACGCATATTTGATGAAATTTCCCCACAATGTGGCTAGGCGCTTTCTAGTAAGTATATCGGATGGTGAGGGAATAACATCTGGGTCCCATCTGTATTTGTATAAGTATGGTAGTTCCTCACAATGTCCATTCCTTCCAAGACCTGGAAAATATTTGGGTTGTCTGAGGAAAAAGTATCAAATGAGGAATTTGATGAATTGACAAAAACTGTCAAATTGAAAGTAAGTACTAAGAGGGCTCTAAAGCAAAGTGAGCTATTTAGCGAAAGAGAAATACTAATTTTGCAAATGTTCCTACTGGACAATATGAACAATCCTACAAAAATGTATATACCTTGAGTTTTCCCCTTTTCGCATTATTCAATATTTTTCTCGCTTAGGGAATATTCATAGAATCAGACCCAATCAAATCACGGAATGAGAATAATGTAAAACCCCTCATCAGTTATTCCTAAAATGTTGGATTGCCTTGTTGCAGAAAAAATATCTTTGTATTGCCTTAACAGATAAGTAGCATGTATTCTCCAAGAACAGTTATGTAACTACTGATTTTCTGATGTATCAAAGAGACATCTTAATCACTTTTGAAAAGCAGATTCATCAAAAGCATGCGATAAAGTCAATCACGTATTATTACTTAACAAATAAAATATTATAATTTCGGGGAAGAAATTTTGAATTGACTTTCCGAGTGGTGGTATCCAATGGGTCGAAATGAATAGGTAAATATACAATGAACATATAGAATAAATGCGAAACAAGGAGTTTCCCAGGGTAGTGACTGTGGTTCGTTATCATCTAAAATGAATGATCTGAAAAGTCGAGTAACTAACTCAAATTGTATAGAGGTACAAACGTATCTGAAGACTGTATACATATAAGAAGAAAATGAGTATCTTGAAATTAAATCTCTTCCAACTACCTACACAGTAGGTTCTGGTGAATGTCTGACAGAAAATAACTACTACCCTGGCTGATACTACGCTGGATATTGAATTATATCTAACAGATATTAATGCAATATACCTCACAGAGGTTCGTCTCGCAGATGTTACTCGTTCATCCAGCAGCAGGATCATGCTGAAATTATTTGGGTAGATCACCTGCAGACCGGTTTCGAAATATTACATTTCATCTTTCAGGAAAGATCCGACACAAACAACAAAGTACTTGGGGCTCGAATAATTTCAACCCTGGTCAACTGCATGTATGAAACCTTCGCCTGAAAAAAAGATTGTTAACTAGTAACAGCTCCATTTCGTGAACAAAGGCCTATACGGGAAAAAATAATTTCAGGACGGTCCTGCTCCTGGATGAACGAGAATCATCTGCGAGACTAACCTCCGTGAGGATATAATTCAATATTCAGCGTGGTATTAACCGAGAAAGTAATTGTTTTCCGGCAGACATTTACCAGAATCTACTCATTGATATTATGAAAAATATTGGGTTGAGAGTGTTAGGGACCATATTTGAATTCATTTTGTCGCTTAATAACTTCTTAATTGACAATAATTTGAATTGTACGGAGTAGAGGGCAAGTATAATGTGCATACAATGCTCAGGTAACTAAGGTATTTGATTCGATAAGAAATGTTTTCATGTTTGTCTGGATAGCTTTTCATTTATCACATTATACAGTGTGTAAAAGCCAAATGGAATAAATTCAGTATTTCGATTACAGTACATATTTCAACAAAATCACGAAACACGTCAAATTTAAATTATAATTTAAATACTCCAACGGAAAAATGCCACCCCTGCCAACCACCAATTTTTTAAATGTTGAGTATAGGCTTGTGATATATCGTTCAAAGGGTATCTTCATTATCTTTTCAAAAATGGATCAAATACCCGATAACCAGTTCAGCATAGTCCTATCCGTGAGAACTTCAGATCTAACATATATATTTATTTTTTACTTTTTGATGATGCGACTAATTTTCCTTTATTTTCAGTATTTTACTATTAATGTAAGTTATAAAAAGGATTTGAAGCTCTATTACTTCTGTTTGATTATCTGCGAGCGCTTTCGACAGCTGGTCGTGCTGTCATCCTCTAGGCCCTACTCTATCTAGATATAGTAGATAGTATCTAGATATAGATAGGATAAGGCCTAGAGGATGACAGCACGACCAGCTGTCGAAAGTGCTAGCAGATAATTAAACAGAATCGCTTCAAAATCACGTCACTAACTTTCTTCGAAAGCTTCTCATAATTCCTCTTCATCAGTTACACCCTTTGAAAACTGGGTCGTGAGTTTCGCCCAAATAGAAAATTTGCCGTTGTTCTTGTCTATATTCAGTTATTTGTTCTGAGTATTTGTTACGCAATTCCACTATTTTTCTGCTTTCCATATCTGCTTGACGTTTGTTCATCATTTCAAATATAAATCCTAGTTTCTTAATCCAATTCTGAAGAGTTTTGTCACAGTAGCTCACGTTATGGCCGGAAGTATTCAATTTATTCTTTATGATTTCAGTTGTAGTAGTCTCATTGCTTTTGTAACAGTCGTATATTGTTTTTTTGATGATTTTATTAGATCAACATCCAAAGGTTTTGGTAATCCTGTATCACATCGCGTCTTGCTTTCATAAGGTTTGCTTTTGACTATTTCACGTACAGTTGAGAAAGGAATTTCGGTCAAATATGATATTGGTTGTAATAGTTTGTGATAGTTTGTAATAGTAATAGTACTCTCTGTATTTCAATATTCAAATTCATCCGAATCTTATTCCCTGGTATGTCTTTTTCGCATTGTTCACCATCGCTATTGAAATCACTGCACTGGAAAAAGTCTTCGTCGTTATCACACTCGTTATTACTATCAGTACTTGTCCAAGAACGCCACATTTTGGACAGAAAACAAAAATTCTAAGTAATTATAACTGCACCAATATCGAATTTCAACACCCAAATCGCGATCAATTCCTGAACTGAATATTGATGACACGACGGCTATAATAATCCCCGCATTCCCCGATTTCTATTCGTCAGTGTAACATGACTTCAAATTCAATTTCATGACTCTTCCGGCAATCATAAAACTCGTTTACTGAAAATTTTCCATTACGAACCGCAAATTCTACAATCCACGTGGACTAGTTCACAGCCGGTTCTTTTCTATGTATTGGTTTTTTTGGCCTTTGAGAGTGCCGCAAACTTTAAGAATGCACAATATCGTTTACTTCGACTATACTTAGCTTTATAGTATGTACTGATAGTGGTATTGTGCACAACTATAATTTAGAAATATAGACTCACGGCTTGCATCAATGTTTTGGTTGATTTTCGAGTTTTGCCGTGGTCTTCTTTGGTTATAATCCCCAAACGTTTCAACTGCAACTGCGGCAGTAATCTTCAGTGCCGTGGTCGAAGTACTTCTCCAGACGTATCACCTGATACGTCAACTGATAAGTTTCAGTTTATACGTCAAAAAGAGTACTTCGACCACGTCACTGAATATGTATAATTACTACTATAATTCATACAGAATAACCAGAGTATTAATCCAACATTGATAATGTTTCTGCTTTCATCCTTATTTATTGATAATGTATTGATAATGTATTTGATAATGAAAATTTATTTTACCTGGAGGTCGCTTTAGCGGTTTCAGCAATCCATTAAGATGCCCCTTGTAGGAAAACTGGTAGAAATAGGTCTCTGCGTGCTTAGAGTGAAGATCCGCATGACGAATCAAGGCACTAGCAAAAATTACATCGGAATTGAACTGGAAAACAAAAATGTAGGTACAGAATATGCTTTTTTTTTCGCTGAAGAGAAGTGAACCGCATTTACTAAGCACAATATTTTTGAGTTCAGAATGGTTTATGTGATTGTAATGGTTTAGGTGGTTTCAAAAATGTTCCACGTCTATCTGCGACTACCTTCGTCAGGTAGATAGGTAGCACGAATGTGTTGCTTGGAAGGTAGGGCTCCTGTGACGCATATCAGGAAGACCCCACCCCATCTGCAGGTTACTAACTGCACTCTCTAGCCATGTGACTCCTGAATCTGGATATATCTAGGCCGTAAGGTGCAGCTCTGCATTCATACCTATAAACCTGGCAACCATAATGACATACTGAATAGTTTTCATTCGATTAGTCGATATCGGGGTCTCTGTGAGTAATTGAATTCAGTCATGCATAGCTTATCCACCACTGGTTCGTATGAATCATCATTGTTTGAGCATAGCCGTATATTCAGAGGGAGGTCGTTTTCTCTCCTAATGCAGATTCTGCTACTGCTGCACGATAATTGTATGCTAAGCATATTGATATTCTTCTCTTGGCTCTTGAGGATGCAAGAGTTGTTTTCTGGTTGCACCACCTAGTCACTTGGGTTTGTTAACCATATCAAGTGTTGTGGAATTGAGAAACCTTTCATTTTGATCCGATATTACAGAAAGAGCACTTGGTCGTTCCGCCGAGTTATAATCATAGTCATAACTTATGATAGGATAGAGAGGTCATATGATAGGATAGAGAGTCATAACTTATGATAGGATAGAGAGGTCCATCATTTCGGAAGATTTGTATGTAACTCTTAGGATGAGACATCATCCAGGAGGTCTTTCATCCACACGGGTAACACCTGACCCGGTAGGGAAATTTTTAGCCCCCCGCTGCTGTGCTGTAGCTATCCAGGTTTGATTGTGCAGCCCAGGAATCATATCTGTGAATTGTACGGCAATCATAGTGGCATACTGACGAGATTTCAGTTGATTGGTTGTTATATTAGATTTCGCTTTGCAGGGCTTTTTCACTTCTGGTTTTCGTGAATCATCATAAGCGTTCGCTCATGAAGAAATGGTTTCTTCTCCTGCTGTTCGAGAATTCCGTGCAAGGCAAAGCAGAAGAAGATATCCCACTCTTGAAGAGGCGATGAGTCGCTTTTTGACTGCACCACCTGGTCTGCTAGGTTTGTTAACGAAAATGAGAATTGGAGAACTGAGAAGCTTTTTCTCCCAATTCGATGTTATTTGGAAGGCAATTGGGGTCATTTAGTCGATGTTCGTATCCTCTGTAGACTCAGGGTTCGATTTTTTGGTTACTTTAGTCCTACGAGTGAAAAGGAAAAAAGGTCCCTCATAACAGATGCTTTTTATGAAGGTTCTGTTGGTAAAAATGAGTAGGCTAACAGTTTTCAATCAAAAACTTTGAGAACTACACCCTTACAATGCTAGATTTCAAAGTTAGTGAAATTTTATATCAATGCTTTTCCACTCATTTCATGTAGTGTTTCTGTGAATGATATCGCTTCAATTTCATAACAAATGTTTGGAGAACAGACTGAATAAGAAGAAAAGTGTTTTGTGTGATTCAATTTTCATATGAAATTAGTTGTTTCAAAAGGACTGTTTACTTCGTCTTATTCAATGTAGGCTTCTTTCTTCAGTTTGACCTGAAAATATTTCCCTTTTCAATTTATTCAGTAGGATCACGCACAAAAAACAACAAATTAATAAAATGTTGTTCAACAACTCTCATTAATGAGTTTTACTCAAAAAGCGACTGTTTCGCACTTTTATATACTAATGGAATCCTTGCATCTATTTTTTGAAGCTTGAATACGTTAACTTCCTAGGCGTTATTAATCAGCAATCGGAACATTACGACTTCACGATGATATTGGTCCCAGCAATACTCTGAATGAATTTCATCGCCAAAAAGTTCAATTATGGGTATCTAAAACTTATTGAATATGTTTGACTCACGATTAGTTTACCGCGAGTTATAATATTAAAAATAAAATTGATAATTATGTTTCATTCCAAAACCTATAATTGTGCATAAGAAATGTGAAGTAACTTTATAGGACGGTTACAAATAAGTCAAGTAATAAGAGTTGTATCATATTGAAAATCATATTGAAAATTCATATTGAATTTATTCGAAAGCGAATGTTCGCTACAATGATTGCTGGTAAACGGGTTAATTTTTATATATGAAAATACACTTTCTCACAAAATGGAAATTTGAAATAAATAGGGATAGCATGTGATACCGTGTTCAAAAGTGTTTCAATTCTCTGTTCAACAATATAGCATTTTTCGATTTCTCGTTTTGGAAAGCTGAGAAAGAAGTGATTTGATTTCATACATTCAAACAACCCTCAAATCAAATAACTGTCAGGATTGACTAGTCCATTAGTTACCGATATTACTTTTTTGACAACTAGACAACCAGAATTTTTTGTTGGAAAAATTAAAAAAATTGGTTTTTTGACGAACAATCAAGAAATGAAAAAAGAATGCGTTTTTGTAATGCAATGAAAATTATTTTGAAACTTTTTTCTCGAATCATTACTTTTCTTTATAATTGGAATTCCAGAAAAAAATCAATCATCTCATGAACGATTCATCCGTTAATAATAATTTTCCAAACAATGAAAATAATGAAATGAAAAAATATATGCATGTAGCTTTTATTGATGAGAAATAATTTTTTCATTTTTCCACTGATTTTTTTCTAAAGCCTTCAAGGAATAGCTTGAAACAAATTCCACGCTCCCATTTTAAACATGATAATTTTCCAACAATGAGGCTGCTGACTCCCTTGCAAAGGAGGGTGCTGCAAACAGCTTCATCGGACCTAAACCTGTCATTGGCATCGCTTCAGGCTTTGCCAAACAAAGATTGAATACCTGGATGGCAAGAAGATTTTTTGACTTCTGGCAGAATCTTCCAGGATTGGCTCACTCCAAGGCATTTATTCACCCTTCGAAACTTGATACCAAACAGTAGGGATAGAGAATACAGTAGGGATGAACTACGATGTCTAACAGGCATTCTCACAAGTCACTGTCATTTGAATCATCATATGCAGATACTTGGACTGTCGGAAGACAGTGTGTGTCGCCTTTGTTTGGGAAATGAAGAAACAGTAGAGCACATACTTTGTGCCTGCCCCGTTGGAGACTGAATCAGGTTTTTCGAGTTCGGCAGACCTGTACTCTTATCATCTGACCTGAAAGAACACTCACCATACAATCTAATCGGCTTCGTTAAGAAGCTGGGTTTATTTGGTCGAGTGTGAATAGGTGTGAGCCACAGTGAACTCTTGCGGGTTGTGGTGGAGGTTCGAATAGACCCACTCACTTTGGACCTAACCTAACCCAACCTAACGGACGTCGCGTGCTCGACTCGAACTATTATCGGTTTTTACCTTCATTTTCATCGCTCAGTTGAAACTTTAAATATTATTACCAAACTTTCGAGGGTTGACAGTTTTTCACAACATTTTCTGTTCGTTAATGATCTGTAGTTCAGATTTCGCAAAAATCTAACGTCATTTTTTTTATTTGAATTATTCATAACTTTCAAACTATTTGCTTGCGCCATTCAGCAATTATTCTGAGTGAAATAACGGATCGTGGCATTCTGAAATTTTGTGAACTAGATTATTTTTCAAAATTCAATCATAGTGAGCACTGTTTCCAAACACCAGAGCCGCAACATTTTCATCAACGCGCATATCAAACAACGTTTTCAAACCTGAATACAGTTCATGTTACTTGTTGATATTGTAGCTTTTTGTGAATGAAAGAATTTGAATGTTTTTTAAAACTACGCATTACAATACTTCAGAGAATCAATTTTTTTCCCGCTATAAAATTAGCTGAGATAGATGTGGATAGTGATGTTTTCAATTAATCTAACTCACCTTATAAAACGCCGTCATATTCTGCTGAAAGGGAACCTTTGTGTATATATCTCTGAGCTCGGTAGCGAATGCAAGTTTATTTTCTTCTTTTATATTTGCTTTAGAGTTAACGATACAAGTAATGTTATTATCGACAGAGGCTGCCATTTCTGGTGTTAGATCAATACCTGAAAAATTAAAATAGTTGGAATTAAGTCGATGAAAAGAATTCAAAATATTGAGTTCAAATGAAAAAAAAAGAAAATATGGGTAACTTGGAGGGTAGCAGGTAGCTTTTTTTTTCAGTCACAACAAATGAGTATACCACCCATTTGAAAATTGGTATAACTTCAGTTTGGCAAATCTAACTATGCCTCTGAAAATCGGTTGCGCAGTGCGTCGACGGAATGAGGCGAGAGCTCTTTAACATTGAGTAACTCGAGTAGTTCATTGTTATTTTTGAAAATGTCTCCGAACAGTTAACTGAAAAACAAGTTTCTCAGACAAAGCAGAGAAATTGTGAACAACATAACAGCTTGCATAACAGCTTCTCACGCGAAGATGAGAAGTATTAGTGATAATGAGTAGAATGGTTACCAGTACGAACTGAACAAAAAATTTAATCAGAGATGAAAAAAATTGAAAATGGCAAGAAAATAGATTTCCAACTCCAAATGAAGAGATGTATAAAAAAACCTGAATTGTGATTGATGATGCTGAAAATCGGTTAAACCGTTCTCAAGTTATAAATGGTGTAACTAAAACTATAACAGAAATATTAATTCCGAATTGGCTGTGACTTTTTTCCTTGTCGCAAAGGGTGAATTTCATTTATTTTTTTCAAGGACAAAACAGAAGCTTTACAGAAAAATTCTGCTGTGCTTCCGGTAGTGCTCTCAGAGCGGTGCCTGTGCGAAAGTATCCATTCGCATTGGATTTGAATCGCTAGAGATTAAATTCATTTTCACATAAAATCAGATCTTCAAATTGAAGAGTTCATGAACAGTGAAGCTCGATGTGTATTGAGTTGAACATCAAAACGATGAGCAGCCAAAGTCCGTCGCGTATTCCTGATATGTACCTCTCTTGGTGGGATCAAATGTGCCAAGTCACTCAAACACTTTCCGTGAAAGTCTCTATAGAAAAAGAGGAAAATATCAAAAGTTGCTGAGGTTTGTACAGTTTTCTGGTTCGGAACAGAGTGTTCCAAGCTTTTGAAGCAGCCTGCGCAATTCCAGCGACACGAAACTGCCAAGACATATTGTTGTCCATTGTAACCCCCAAAAAACTCATCGAAGCAGAAAGCGGAATTGTCTGTCCTGACATTATTATACCCGGTACGGAAACATTTATCTTTTTGTAGAAAACTGATGCCTGGGTTTTTGTGGCACTGAATTGAACGTGGTTAATTCAACCTAATTCGAAAATTTCTAAATCCTCATTAAGATATGCAACCTCCCGCTGCCGGTGAAGATGTGCATCCGCAGTCGAAGTTCTGGAATCCAAATGGAATAATAAGACGAGTGTGAAGTCGTTAGCGAAGCAATATATTGGATTCTTCGTTTTTTATGATCAATCGTTGATATAAAAGAGGGTTGGAGATAGTATAGAACCCTGGGGAACACCGGCGTTGATGGTGTATTAGAGAAATAACCATCGATGGCCACTTGCAGGAAACGTTCTTTCAGGAAACTGGAGAGCCATACACAAAAATGTTCCGACAACCCATAGTATCGAAGTTTGGCCTGCAAACCTGCATGCCAAACATGGTCGAAGGCCTTAGAAATATCAAGCGCAATAGCTTTTGACTCTTCATGTTTCTCAATTGCGTTATTTCAAATATGGGTGACATACGATATAAGGTCCCAATCGATCCCACATCTGATGAAATAATATTTGAAGTCAAAGGTTCGCTCAAATTTTCAATTTTTTTGATTCGTCATATTTCCGAAAGGATTACACTCGGGAAAAAAATTATGAGGACAATTTTTCTGCAATATTTGTCAAATCTATTTTCATAATGAATCTCCATATTTGTGAACTATGACTGATTTTTTTGCAGAAGTGGGATTGATAATGACACTTCCTATTTAATCCATAATAGTGTTCCCAACAATTCTTACTTCTATGCGAATTATGGTTAGCTTGCAAGATCTGCACAGCAATTCATATAACTGCCGTGCAGATGTTGTCTGATGTTTACATATGTCAAACTGAAAGAACATTCAAAACACGTATGAAAGCATAAATAACCAGTTTTCATGAACATGAATGAAACGTATGCTTTTTACCACCTCATCGCTCTCTTAACATTCTAGAAAGTATGAAAATTGATATAATAAGAAATTACCAACATTTACCAGTGGATTATGTCAGGTCTTTCCAGGTAGTTGAATCCAGACTAGAATCACTTATGTAATTGAACTGTAAGTTGTAGCTAAGGTTTCTAGACAATACAATGTTTTTTAATCCATAATTTTCAGTTAAGAAAGCTATCGTATCACAATACGTGCCGCTGTCATGCCACTGTAAACGGTACAGTGAACTGAATCACTTGGTTTTGATATGGACTTTCAATAAATATTGCCTCAAATTTTGGAAACATGGTTTGATTATAAAATGGTAGTTTACGAGGTTTTTCCTAACCTATCATTTCTTCATCGGTGATTCCAATTAGAATGGGCACTTTGTTTATGTTTCCATCCTTCACATCATCATGGAATGGTCCTGTTAGAAAAGCATTCTTCTCTATGGGGTCTTCTATGGTCATCGTCCAATTGGCTGGTACATTATAAGGCAAATCCCCTCTAAGGTGAGGGGGCACCTGAAACAAAAAATGGAGGTGGAACTGAAGACTTGTAGTAATTCCCATATCTATTATTCAATGAATATACACTTCGGGAAATGGGAAAATTTTATTATAGAAGGTAAAACAACTGATCTTTGAAAAGGAATGAACAATGAAAACAAATCAAACTATGTTTTTTTGAGGTGCCCTCTCATCGAAAATTCCTTGTAGAGCTGTCTTTATTGTACGAATCACTCTTTCTGCTATAGCTGCCTTCTTTGTGCTAAATGTTGGATAATGATTGATATTATATTCTCGCATGAGATATGAAAAGCTTCTATTGAAAAATTGTTTCCCAGGATCGTATTGTATATGTTTGGGAGAAAATTTAGCTTCCTTCAGTACATGTTTCATTGCATTAGTTACTGTACTACCTGTTTTATCTTTAATTGCTACAGTTCACAGATATTTTGAGTAAAAATCAATCACTACAAGTATATATCGGTATCCTTTATTACTTTTTGCGTAAGGTTGTAGTCCAGCTAGATCTATTTGCTATAGATCTGTAAAACCTTTGATGGTGGTTATTCTTCTGCGAAAGTTATGTTTTGCAGGTCTATGTAATTCATTGACAACTTGTCGTTTGACATCATTTATTTCATTAGTCATTCTATTTCAATATGATTAAAAAGAAAAGGTGATGATGTTACTGCATTGAATGATGATGTGACAGTGATCATTACTTGTGGATATATTAATATATTATATCTTCTTCACGTAATTTTTCAATAATTGAAATTATTTCATTGTCATGTCCAGTAAGCCCAGCTGACTTTGAAGCTACCAATAGCAACTAACTCTTCCAGTGAATTCCAGTACACATAATTCACAGGTTTAGAATTATATGTTTTTTCCATTTTCACTCGTTTGAGTGCTCTACAAATTTTACTTCTACTTCTTATTGGATATTGTGGTGAGTCTAATAGAGGTTTGATAACTTCACGAAATTTTTTAGAATCTCATTCAGATGATATTGTTTATATGCAGCATTCGTTATTTTCAATATTTTGGAATATACTTTACGAATTTCTTCATCATCAACATCTTGCGGATTTTTCAAAAAGATCATATCATACAAGTCTGGGCTACCTGCTCATTTATATTTTTTCACTTCATCAGCATCCCAAAATGAAATGTTTCCATTTGTAAAATGTACCACTAGACTTCACATTTTCAGCTTTTGTGTAATAGGATCCATACGTACACCAAATGTTCCATCATATGCTGGATTCCTAGATTTTACTTCATTCAAATATTTCGCCAAAACATCTTCACGACTTCACGACTTCATATTAGGTGAGGAGTCAGGATCCGAGGAATCGATGTGGAATAATGATGATGTTTCGAATAGAGTTGTTCTCATACCATCTTGAAGTGTGCTCGTGTCACTATTCACAGATTCACACTACCAAAAAATTATTTTTTCCTATAGGAGTACTCATGAGATAATCTGAAGTAGATTGAAAATTTCCATGGTTTGACGATAACACTGATGATTTGGAAGTAGCGTTTGATGATAAAACATTCAATGGTTTCGTTATGAGCTTAGAGCTCATGAGCTTAGAGTGTCGTACGATTTTGAATATTATCATTCTTGATAGAGTTGAATTTCTGCCAGACAGCTTCTGTTGTCTCTACTAGTTGACGTTTCAGATTCATTTCATTGTTTTTATTTTCAGAATAATTTTTTGTATTCATATTTTTTCAAATTATAGATCAATTCGCTGATGAAGTGACCTCTTCAATATTCAGTGATCAAATAAGTTTGAATAACAAGATCATGGATAAAGAAAACTATCGAATTCTTCGCGATATCTACCATCATCTATTTTTCTGTCCTTCTCAATGACTAGAAATCCATATTGGTCCTTCCAGCATTTAATAAACATCAATTGGAATTGCTTGAATGTTAAATCGGGTGATACATGATTTGAATAAATATGATGTAAATTCGTCTCATCTTGTTTGAACATTATGATGAAATTGGTATTGTCACGCACTAATTGTTTTGGTACCCGTGAATATGTCTGTGCGAGATAAACACAATCAACATCCTTATGACGTCCCAACAGAAATATGATCTAATAATATCCTGCTTTTCACAAATCACATCATAGAAAATGAAAACAGAATAAGGCTGAGCGTCGGAGCTTTCCACTATTTCTGCATTATTGCTAAATGTATAAAAACCTAATCCTATTATAGGTTCCAAAACATTTCGCAAGTACTGATATTTAGTTGATTGAGTTATTTCGAATAGATATAACTATGATCGTCAACAGTAATTCAATACAGTTCTCTGTGGTCACTTACGCTTACAGTTTCTCTCTGAATAATTTTCCAAATAAAAATGGATACAACACCAAAACTGGATCGGAAGGCTATCAAAGGAATGGGGTTTTCACTTAGAATGTTTTCAAAATATGGTAACTTGAAAAAAATTGATGAAGTGATGCTCGCAAATATGCTCAAGGAAGTGATACTTGCACGTGTCGCACGTGAGATTGCTTATATTTGGGAAAAGTTACCCAAGATGTCATCGATATTATAAAACATGGATATTGTTATGAACACCACCCCGATGAAAATTCAGATTCGTATGTTAATGATGGTCCTATACCTCGAAAATCCATGTTTTGTATTTGTAATATGGAGGATGTGAATATCGGTATCAATAAAAGTGATATTTATTACAATACAATACATCAGGGTGGTGTTCATAACAATATCTATGTTTCATTATATCGATGTCACCTTGTAGATGTTTGGGTAACTTTTCCCAAACATATGCATGTGCGACACATGCAAGTATCACTTCCTTGAACATATTTGCAAGCATCACTTTATCCATTTTTTTCAAGGTACCATATTTTGAAAACATTCTAAGTGAAAACCCCATTTCCTTGATAGCCTCCCGATCCAGTTTTGGTGTTGTATCCATTTCTATTCGGAAAATTATTCAGAGAGAAACTGTAAGCACAAGTGACCACAGAGAACTGTATTAAATTTCTGTTGACGATCATAGCTACATTTGATTTTTACATTCGAACATTTTCGAAAGAATCGAGTCAATTCCAATGGTGGGGGTTGATCTCCAAAACTACCGAATTATGTGACTTCTTTCCCACATTTTTTATATGCCACCCAATGTGTTCCTGGTCCACTTATTCCATGTAAATTAACAATAGCTGTCTCATTTTGTCTTGGACCTGAAGAGGGTAATCTGTCACGCATAAAAACACCACGAAAATGTGGAATTTTCATTTTTTGTACATAATAACTGAGATCCAAATCAGTAAGAGGCCTCTGAGGTAGGGTCTGCTGCAAGATCGGATGGATGCTTAGAATATTGAATATCGTGTTTTTCGCATTCAATATCTGATTTATAGATTCCAGGATCGTTGCGAGCTAAACGTTGTTTCAGTTTTGTACCCGGTCCACAGTATTGATATCCTCCGGGTATATGTAATTCGAAAGGAAGTTTGTTTATTGAATCATTAACAAAACCACAACCTCTTTTAATTTTACAATCACTTTCAATACGTCCGTATCGTTTGATGGTACACATTGAAATTGATAAGCTAATAACATTTATATAGTCTCCAACCACGGCACGATGCGCATTGTGAAACAGAAAGAAAAGTTTGCTAGATGAGAAATTTGGGTGTGGATTGAATGCACAAAGGGTATTCAGATATGGTCCACTACTTCCATCATCAGTCCGAGGTCTCATTATACGATCTTCAAATTGTGGAAAGATGAATGCAATGATTATGTGGTATTAACCTCAGACTTTCAGCTGAAAGGCTAAAACTTGGCAGAATTATACCCTGACAATTATTTTTAGATGTGTTGCCAAGACGATCTACCCGTTTTTCCTTCCCCACCCAATTGCGTCAAACTCGCACTTTGGAAGACATTGATAATATGAATTTAGACTTTTATCAAAACTACCAATAGACGATTATGTTACAATTTCCAACAAATCAGTAAATATAAAACTGATTAAGGGATATTTTCAATAAACAAATTTCTGCCAAAATATTAGAGGGGAGACTGAGGTTGAGCAACTTCTCTGAAGAAAAAAGTCCATCAGTGAAAAAAAAATGAAATAATATTCAGTATGTGTGTAATTTACTGTGAAAAACAAACCAATTCTATGTGATGGAATTGACCGATATGTGACAAAGTTCCAGTACTTCAGGTGAAGTGGCCAGGAATGGGAAAAAAACTGCTTACAAATATTCTTTGATATTATAAATATAGTAGTTCAATAACAATGGTTTTCATCAAGTATCATTAACAATATTCAACTATGAAAATGCAGTTTACTTAACATTGAATAATTCAGAACACATTCATAAAATAATTCGTAAGTAGACAAATACAATAAAGGTTCTAAGTGTATAGGTACATATCATAACACATATTACGAGGTCTGTTTTAAAAATAAGGTGAATGTTCAAATTTCGCGGGCTACGTACATTCAATTAGCGATTTTATGTTTTTTTCATATTGGTTCATTCGTCTCGAATATATTTTCACAGTTTCAGCTATTAATCGGAGTCTACATAACTTCACTTTCAATTTTCTCGATAATTCTCTGAGATCAATAACCTGTACAAAGTTTTCAGGAACAATGAATGATTTCCTTTTCACATGGCCAGAACACATTGAGTTTACATCTGAGAAACTGGACCAATCATGTCACCTAATAAAATCACTAAAAAGTAAACTAGGTACCAAATATCTACTAACGATATAACGCAAAATTTCACTTCATAGTATGTTGTAACATTGCTGCCTGGGGGTTAGCCACTGAAAATGGCAAATTATTTGTGAAACAAAAGGCACTGTTGAGTTTAATGTTCAACCTTGATTACAGAACGTCATATAGGGAAATATTTCAAAACAATAAAATACTAGCTGTGGGAAGCATATTCATTTCAAGACAAACATTCATGAGGATATAAGAC